TCTGGCTCCTGCTGGGGGTCTCGGGTCCCGTCACTGGGTCCCTGCCCACGGCTTCCTGGCCGCTGGTCGCAGCGTCTCCGCCTCCGGCCACAGCCCGTGCTCTGGCGCTGGCGCCAGGACTTGGTTGGGGAGAGGGTTCCCAGGTAGGGTTTCTGTTAACCACGGAGTCTGAGTGGAATACGAGACCTCGCTTTATTAGTCCAATATTCCACACTTATTCAGCAAAAAACCATTAATATGGAGATCAGATGTTGAAAGCTCATGTAGTTTATTCATAGAAAATGACTGTATACAGACGGTCTCCAGCTGACACCGGTTGGACTCAGGAGTTTTGACTTCACGAGGGTGTGGCAGTGATGCGATTCAGAGGAACCATATTTTGGATTTGAATCCGGATCCTTCCGGGCAGCGGTGCACGTGGTGTGATGGTCTCGGGACGCCGGACAGCGGCCTCGAGCCGCAGCCCCCGCCGGGCAGGGACCGCGAGTCGCCCGGTAATGCTCGTGTGCTCCCGGTGAGCGCGCTCTGCCCCCTGTGGGCTCAGGCGCGCATTGGGCGGGCAGGGACCCTCTGGCAGTCGGGCGTCTGTGTGTAAACGTGGAAGTGCTGTTACCAGCCCACGGAGTTTTAACTTTGCAATAGGTTTAACCATGAAAAGGACGAGTGGAGGACGTGGCCAACCCTAATAACATGTCCGTTTCCGAACTAAAGTGTCTCCCCGCCCTGTTTCAGGCTGGTACACCCCTCCGAAGGAAGACGGCTAAGTGGATGGACTGTCCCAGGCTCGGACCAACGTTGCTTTAAAGAAACCTTCCCACCGTGCAGACCAGCTTCGAGTGCCCATAACAGCAGCCCCGACGACGTTAGCTGATAGACACTTTAGTGGATACTCTGTCACCTGACATCCTGCATAAGTTACAGCCTCTCATTTGCTCATTGTAGGTATCTTGGACTCAGCAGGGGGGCCTTTCCTGTATTTTTCTTGATAAATACACACACTGGCCACTCCTTATCATCTCTTTTTCTTGAAAAATGAAATCTGTTAAGCAGGCAAGTCAGCACCCGGTTCCTGGAGCTGCAGCTGTAGGTGACGTCTCCCCGTGAGCTCGTGCGCTGCGAGGACGCGCAGCGTGCTGTCCCCTTAGAGCCGATAGAGGTGGTTGGGTGTTCCGGTCGGTTTAGGAAATTTAAGGTCTTCTCGGTCACCGTAGCCTTTTCCGGTTGCCAAAATAACGACAGAAAACCTGCTCCAGGAATTGTTACACTTTCTATGGCCTCTCTGGGGCCATTTCCCACAGACATGCTCTTACCTGAATTGCAAGGTGGGGCCGCGCAGGCACGCCGGCTGTCGTAGTGATTCCACTGGGCATCCGTCTTGCTGGCTGAAGCTGTTACTGGTTCAGTATGTCTTATGAAGATCGGCAGTCTAGATCTTGACGTTATTTAAAATACTAAGTCATTTTACATTTCCATTTTATTAACGGGATGTTGCAATCGTTTGTAAACTAATAAGCTTATAAAGTGATTGGCACACAGACAGACGCCTTGAGCAGAAGCTGCACAGCTAAGGACACACCAATCCCTCATTTGGAGACCTAAAATTTTTTGCTACAGTCATAACAATGGCTTTTACTTAAAGACTAATAGGAACTCTACACATATTACTTCTTTTATAAAACCTGACTCAAATCAGTACCCTCTCCATTCTCTTGCCTTACCTGAATCAGTCCTGTTTGATTGGAAGTAGATTTTTATATACCCACGTTTGATTTAAAAGTAAGGTCTAGTTATTAAGCACTTTTAAAATGAAATCCAGAAGCACATTTTCTGCACAAATCACTTACAAAGTTCAAAAGTGTTTCTTAGGCACTTGCTCTGAGAGTCAGTTTTCAACTTTGTAAGCCGCCTGGGAGAGACCTGCACGGCTGCGGGGCCGCAGCGTGTGGGGGCCCTGGGGGAGGCTGTCCTGGGTTTGCTCACGTGGTGACATTTGTGCTCAGTTCTGATACCGTGGCTCAGACAAGCGACAAGGCAGAATTCTTTAAAGCATTACAGTTCCTTAAACCTAAGGCTGGATCTTGAATACATTATTGAATTCTTTAATATCCTGATGGCTAGCAGGTTGACAGCTGCACATTTGGCATGCTTTGTTTTTATTTGGAGTTTATTTTTCATTGCAGATTTATTTGGCAATGTACAGTAAATTTTGTAAACTTGCATCAAGTTTATGAATAAAGAGTCATTTAAGAAATAACGCCGTCCTTTACCCTCATTAGAGGGGCCCTTTGCTCAGGGGCCCGGAGTCCTGTGGAGTCTCTGGGGCAGGATGCGGGCGATGGGTGAGGAGGACGCTGGGAGAGCAGGTTGGTTTGACGAGAGCGACAGAGCAGGACGGTGTGTGCCGGCGATGTGGCCGCCCACGTCTCCCTCAGTCTTCGCTCCCCACACTGTTCCTCAATGGAAACATCTCCTGGCTGCCCCTAGTTCCCCCTGTCAGTCATCCGCTCCCCCTCGAGGGTCCCCCGGCGGCCTCACACGAGGTCCTTCGCACAACAGGCAGCCCAGGGCAGGAGCAGCTCGGCTGGAGGCTCTGAGGTTTGTTGGAAGCTGTGGATGGATGCGGTCCTGCTCTCTCCTCCCTGGCAGAGTCCTGTCTCCGGGGCTCCTGGGGGGTCTTCAGGCGACCCCGCCCAGCCCCTCCCCTTTCCGGTCCCAAACCAATGTCTGGATCTCCTTGGACCCCGTTCTCAGCATGTCATTTGGGGAACCCTGGAGACCCCGCGAGGCCCTTTTAGGAGGCGTCAAAGGTCAAAAATGATTTTCCTGATAAAACATCATTTGCCCTTTTCAGTCTCGCTCGCTCTCAAGCGCACACAGGAGTTTTCTGGGGCCACACGCCTGATACGGCCACAGCCTGAGTTCCCGGGCCAATCCAGTGCCTTCTCTTAAGCCAGACAGAGGTTTTCACTATTGGGTGGGAGGGCGGGCGTTCTTTTTTTCATAAAAATGTTCTCTGTTAATGTGAAGTGGATTTGTTACTTTAATATTACAGTGTTTTAATATGGCCAGTATCAACAGGCATACCCCACACGAACAGGTGCGGAGCCCTGCCCAGGCCGGTGTGGCTCAGTGGGCAGAGCGTGGGCCCAGGGAGGAAGGGTCCGGGTTCCATTCGGGTCAAGGGCACCGCCTCTGTTGTGTGGGCTGCTGGCGGGAGGCACCCCATCTGTGCATCTGTCTCTTCGCCTCCCTTCCACTCGCTAAGGCAATGGACACAAACCCCCGGGGGAGGATTAACAGCAGCAGCAAAGGAGCGTGGGAGTCCGAGGCCAGGGAGTTTGGAACACACCAGTGAGACCAGTGAGGGGAG